GAGCTGCTGCTGCTGCTCGCCAGCTCCCCGGGGCTTCAGCTCACGCTTCCTCCAGTTTTAAGACTCAGATGCACCGAGCGGTAATTTTAGAAAGGTTTTTTTTTTTTTTTTCGGGGACTGGGAGTCTCTGCCTCTGCTTTGCTGCAACCCTCCAGCGTTTGGGCACTGCTGATATTTATAGGCAGCAAGGAACAGTGAGACACCTGGGGATTAGCTGCAGAATTGTCCCTGGGGCAAAACAGGGCACAGTCGCTTCCAGTTCAGGAGGAGATGAAAAGCCTAACAGACACACGTTTGTTCAGCTGACCAAAAAGAAGCCTAGGACTCAGTTTTAGTACCCAAAATGGAATAACCTTTCCGCTCGGAAGCGAGAAGGGCCAGGGATTTGAACACGCTTCCTTCCATTGCTTTGTGCAGATGACGTGCAGCACACGGATATTACGGGACATTAAAGGGAGATTTAATTTTTAGCAGACTTGAACCTATCAGGGAGATTGAGGCCTCATAAAATTAACGATCACAATAAGACGGGTACGCTAGCAAGCTAGGCATGCAAACACACAGGATGGAAAAGGCCAGCGAGGCTCTGATGAGACATCTCTAGAGGGTAAAGCACCACTAATCAAGCGCCTAGCTCGAGACTTTTAGTCAGACAAATTAAACATGTTACAAAACTCAAGACTGGTGCAACACAGGAGGGGATCGCTTTACCGGCTTGGTTCATGCCCAGAATAACCTATTCAAAGAGAGTCCTGCACTCCAGAGGGTTAAAGGCTCATTATTTGCATACCTCCTACTGTTAACACTCTCAGCCGCTCCTTGAACACTGCAAGATCTGGGGTGGGCAGGGAAAGGGTGGGGTGCAGAAGGGAGAAGATAGAGAGACGCAGTCAAAGTTAGTTTAAAAAAAAAAAACAAAAAAACAAACAAAAAAAAACTAGAACCGTGAAAACTAGTCATGGAAAGCACAAGTTCAAAAATACACTATTCAAAATACAGTCAAAAACCACCAGAGGCAAAAAGGGCTGGAATGGAGGATGACTACACACTACATGGCAAAAGAAATCCTGGTGGAAAGTCTTCGGAGAGCTGGCCACAAAAGGAGGGAAGAGCAGGGAGGTGGCGGGGGGGCATCAGACATTGGGTAGCAATTGAGCTGCATGGTTTGAGATCTCCTCTTACGCGCGGGAGAGCAACGTGGGGAACATCACGCCACGATGCCGTCACCAGCTAGGACCAGCCTGACGGGAGGTCCCGAAAAGCATCTCCCTGTCACCTTGCATTAAAAAGAGCGTTATCGGGACTTCGGGGGAGGCGCCGGCAGAGATCCAGGCGCTGAGAGCCTGCCCTTAAGAGCAGCCTTAAATCGAGCATCGTTCCCAAACGGTTTTGTTCTGCTCTTCGCTACCGGGAGCTTTTCAAGGTCACCCCTAAAGAGGAAGAGCAGCTGCGCTGCGCTCCAAGAGGAAACGAGATTCGAGAGCGACCGCGCGGACACCGCCGCTCCCCGCGCGCG